CTTATTCTAAATACTTATAGCTATTACTGCTAAGTTTAACCTTAAACTAAAGTAATATAATGTTATAAACGCCTTTATATATACTGCAATTAACTAAGAAATATATATAAGAATGCTAAGAGAGTATTAGAAACTTAGTACTCTACTAAAAGTGCAGAAGGCACTATATAGACTCTGAATTTTGCTGCTACTATAGTAAAAGGAGTTTACTATAACTCTTACGTCTATAGAGTTCTAATAAATACTATAGGAACTATGCTGCATAATTAAAGACAGAGTAATTATCTTCTTCTATATAGACGACATTATTATTGCGTACTACTTAAAGAAAGAATTAGAGGCTCTAAAGGCTATTAAACAGATCTAAGATAAATATCTCTGCATAGAAGAAGAGAACTTATAGTAGTTTCTTAGAGTAGAGGTTATGCGCAACTGCTAGCAGAAGACTATTTAGCTATCCTAAGCTGCCTACGTTAATAAAATCAGCCTACTTATTAATTACTAGAGTATAAGATATAATATGCTAATATTAGGTATTAAACTTCTACTATAAGATAGACTTACAGCGCTAGCTAAAATTAATAAGTATTAGCGTAAGATTAGATCTCTACTATTTACAGCAGTTACTATAAGGCTAGATATTGCTTTTATAACATCGCGCCTTACTTAATTCCTAGTTAATTTAAGCAATAAGCATTAAGAGGCAGCAGACTAGATACTACTATATCTAAAGCAATTATTAAACCTAGCTCTTAAGCTTAGGAAAGATAAAGGTTTTAAGATCATAAGTAATGCATTATTTGCAGATAATACTCTTAATTAGAAAAGCTTATAAGGCTATGCTATTAAACTTTTTAGCAGTCTTATAATCTAGAGAGCAAGCAAATAAGATATAGTTATAACCTTAATAACAGAAGCTAAATTACTTACGCTCTCTTAGATAGCAAAGAAAGCTATCTTTACGTTACGACTGCTAAAGAAGCTTTAGATTAACCTTAGTAACTTAATAATTATAATTAAATGCGATAATAAGCAGACTATTAGACTAGTAATAGAAGACGTAGCTAAGCTTTAAATAAAACTTTAGCACGTTAATATATACTACTACTAGCTAAGATAAGAAGTTACTTAGAAGATAATTAAGGTAGAGTATATACTATCTAATAATATAATAGCAGATAGATTTACTAAGGCTCTTCTAGCTAATAAATAGGCTAACTTTCTTAATTAATTAGGACTTATTAAGCATATAAAAGCTCTCTTAAAGGAAGCTAGACTAGAGTTACTGTAAGAGCAACTAGAGAGCTTAATATTATAGCTAATTAACTAGGATATGCAGCTTGCAAGGAGAACTTCTAAGCTAAGAAGGTATGTTAGATAGAAGGCGTTACATAAAATAGATTAGGCAATTAACCTGCTAAGAAAGGTGCAGAGGCCTCTACACACGCAAATAAGATGCTGCGCGCACTTTAGATAGAACAACAATAATAATTTTCTATCTAGGATCTTATTACATCTAATAACTAGATAGCTATAGAAGTTACTTAACTATAGCTTTTATTAAGTACTATAACTATAATTAAATTCTTCTTATAATATTACTCTCTTATTTAACTTATATGCTGCAACTACTTAACGTTATTCTATTTAAGCTACTAGCTTAAGCTTATACTAAACGCCTTACTAATTATCTCTATAATGCTTAAGAGCTTATCTCTATTACTAAAGGTAACTTTTTTAAGCTATTTTAGAACGCCTAAGTATCTATTTTTAGCAAAGAAATGCTTATCTTAAAGGCGTTTAAAATAATAGAAATATAGCTAAAGAACTCTAATGTTATGCTTAAGAAGTTTACTTAAATACCTAAATAATTACTTAGCTTATTAAGGCTCTTACTATCTAATTAGCTATAAATAGAGCGTTTAGTATAAGCTATAGTAAAAGATACTTGCTAGAATAAGGCTAAAAAGTTAAGTCTTACTCTTTATTAACTCTCTATCTAAAACTAGCTTTTATAGCATAAAGTTAAAGGTCTATATAAGACTATATAATACTAAAAGAAGTATAAAAAGAAGAGCAAAGCTCTTAACCTTTAATAGCATTAAGAGTACTACAGTAGAGCTATCTTATAGTCTTCTTAAAAGGTTAGAGAGGCCTATATAAGAGAGAAGGTTAGAGCTAATAATAAGATAGAAGAAAAACTCTAAAAAGCTTATAGAAAGAAGTTATATAAGGCTGCTAAGATTTAGTATTAAGTTAAGCTAAAGAAAAGATATGCAGAATAAGAGAGACTTAAGATAGTAAGAGAGAAGAAGAAAGCTAAAAAACTAGCTAAATATAAGTATTAGAAATACTAATAAGATGCTAAGAAAGCTATATAATTATCTTAAAAGAGTAAGCATAAAGCCTTCTAAGCAGCCTTTCTAAAAACTAAGCATTAGAAATGCGTTAGAGATGCTGCAGATAGTATTTAAGTTCTACCTACTCTATCTTCTCTACTACTCTAGATAACGTTACGTAGCTATAACGTTAACCTTCTAAGTAAATATAAATAGTATAAATTAATTGCAAGGTTCTATTTACTAAACTACTAACGTACCTTATAGGTTAGTAAGCTATATAGGTTAGTAAGCTACTTTTGCTAAGCCTCTACTAAAACTACTCTATTCTAGCGCAAAATAGCCTACTTTAGCTCTATATAGTATAAAGTAAGATATAATATTATTTAGAGTCTACTTCTACTACTTTCTTATATATACGTATATTATATCTAGTCTTATTATACTATCTATACTATCTTTAAGAGAGCTTACTTACTTTAGCATATATCTACTTCTTTACTTTCTTCCTATTACTATGCATACTAAACTTCTTTAGAGTTATCTATTAAAGACTATTCTTAACTATTAAGGTCTCTTCTTTTTATATATACTTTCTTTTATATAATTTATATTACGTAGCAGCTTTATTAGCTGCTTAAAGCTTAGTAATCTCTGTTCTGCGCTAATACTAGCTTATATGTAATAATTACTACTCTCTTTAAGATTTTCTTAAAGGCTTCTACTATAGATATTAGTAAGCTATCTATATATCTCTAAATTCTTATCTTTATAAGCGTTAATTATAATTCTAATTTAAGAGTATTACTTAGAGTTTATAACTACTAAGAATAGTCTTTAATAATAAGTAATAATAAAGTATAAATATAGATATTAAGAGCTAATATAATCTGCTCTAGGTTAAATAGAACTAATCTAGCATCTTAAAACTCTTCTTAGATATTACTAAGAGTAATTACTGCGTTAAAGGCGCGCTTAAAGTATAGTAGAAACTTAAGTTTTATAATATATATAATTTAGTTATATATAAGCTCTTTAGCTTAGCGTCTATATACTTTCTTTAAAGAGATAAGAATAATCTATATTAAGAGGCTATAGAAGGTATAATAAGTAAGAAAGCATGCAGATAGTAATAATCTTATTATTCTTATAGTATTACTAGAATTTAAGTAAGTTATAGCTCTTATAGCTATTAATAATAAGTAGCTAATAAGCGCCTATAACTTTCTTCTTTATATGCTTATTAAAGTGCTTTAACTACTATAGACTAAGCTTATTTATTATTTAGCTATTCTTAGAGACTATAATAATCTAATTATAAGATAGATTCTTTTTCTTATACTAAGCTAAGAAGTAGTAGCAGCTTTTAAAGATAATAAAGAGTAGAATAGCTTACTCTATTATATTAACGCTCTAAATAACTATTATCTACTCTTAATTACTCTATTATACTATCTTTAGCTATTCTTATTGCTCTAAAGCTATAATAACTACTTTAGTTAAGATCTAGCCTATTATAAAGCTAGACTTATTAAAGTTATATATATTATTATTAAGGATACTATACTTTGCCTTTATATTCTCTATAAGCTAGAACTAGTCTTATATAATCTTAGAATTCTTATAGAGAGCTTTCTTATAGTTATATTTATAATTAAACTTTATTTAGAGCTTAGAGTAGCATTTAATAAATATACTAAGCTAGTTTAAGCTAACTTAGCCTAGACTATACTTAGCGCGTAGAGAATTAGCTATATTAGCTATAGCTATAAGCCTAAGAGAAAATCTACGCGTAACTAGCTTAAATATATGCTTAATAACTACGTTCTTCTTAGTTAGAGTTAGATTTATTAATTTAAGCTAGCAATTTACCTAGAAAGGTTATTTAGCGCATTAATAATCTAGAGTTACTTAAGATATATTATAGATAGCTGCAGCGCGTTGCATAGAGAGTATTATATCTTATTTAAGAGCTTAGAGAGTAGTCTATATCTTACGTTTATTAGAAGCATCTATCTAGTGCTATTATTAAGGCATTACGTAGATAAGATAGTTTTAGTAAGAGCTTAGCAAAAGTAGCTTGCTAACTTATGTAGCTCACTAACCTGTGAGGTACGTTAAGTTTTCTCGCAATACTATTAAGTAGACGTGGAGTTGCAGCCTTATTTTTAAGATAGTTAATATGGTGTTAGGCAGAGCGTCACGCGAATCTGGGCGTTACGCGCACGGGCATAGTACTTTTCAACATTGTTTCAGAAACGCCTTCTCTAGGATACAATCGTAAGATACCTTCGATACATTACCAACACTGATGAGCGTGTCAATGCCCTTATTAACGGAGTGGAATTGATAATTATCGAGAGACAAAATGGGCTTGGAAAATTGCTGCTTTATATGAATAGCTGCTTGCATAAGCTAGTGCTGTTTTATCTTAGTAGAGGAAGGGCTTGCACTATCTACAGCTAGCTCTTCCGGAAATTTTCTAGGACATACACAATGATCAAGGTATTAGGACAATAATAGAGAAACAAGTAACATCACGGATTTGCTTTAGGAGTGAGCACAGAGCATAATTCATATATAAAGGGTTACACTACTTAGGAGAAAATAAGCCGGAAAACTATGCAGCTTTCTACAAACAGAGGTTGACAGCTCTCACTCTCAGTCTGTTCGTTTCCTTACCTCGTTTGAGGTTGCCTTTTCATGCTTAGCCTTAGAGTAAGGGTGGGCTATAGGGCTTGTATGAAATGGTTCTATCTGACTCTCTGCTTCCATGGTCGCAACTCGAGTCAGGCGATTGGCAAGACTAGATTTTGGAGCAAATGTCCCAAAACATACTCTATACTGCTTTTTGGAAAATGATCGCAGGTCCTTCCTGGGGGCGGAGACGGGCAGTTGTGCTGAACCATCCTTAGACATTGCTTTCTTCACATCAAACAGATCAGCCAACGTATGTGCTACTGCTTAGTCGCTATTACCATCGCCAACAACCTCTTTAGATCTGGAGATTGTCTACAGACACTTTACTTGCTACCTTGTTTAACTCAAGGCACTGTTCAGAAGCGCTGATATCATTTATCTACATGTTCTTCAGCCGAAAGGAACAAGACACGTCTTACTAAATTGTCAACATCACCGGAGAAGAAATTCCTAGACCAGATAGTGGCATTCTTCTTCCCTTCGCACAATCCTGTGCGCACGGAGTCAGGATCAACGACATCGTCTTGAAAGTACGTGGAAGTCGAGTGTAAGCCCAAGCCTCAATGTTAGGCACCTATTTGCTCAGCCTGAGCTTTGCATGTGGCCGCATTTTAAGCACTGTACTTGTAGGTGTCAGAAATGATTGACTAAGCGGACTCTTTCAACCGGGTGCCAAGACCGTCTGCAAAGGCCATCATTTTCGGCGACATTCTCCTTCAAAATTGTAAGACGTGTTGAAAGGAGGTACGTGCCTTACTAACAAATCCCCGCCGTCGTATGTTTCTGATCTTTTTCTGCGCAGCCATGTACAAAAAGACCGACGTAGGGCCAAGAAAAAGATTAGTTTTTTTGCCAGTTAGGGAGCAGCCGGTGTGGAGAAAGGAGGCATGCACCTCCACTATACAAACATTACAACAGCCGACCCTTACACCTTCCTTTCGAAATCCTACATCGCAATAAACAAGCAACATCTGTAACAACGCCCCCTCCAAGCTGTGACAAAAGGTCTCGCGTATCTCATCTCGCTTATCGTTACCACGACATGGCACAGGAAACGTCTGGTTGGGGTGCCTTGCAGAGCGGAGGATGTCGGCTTTGTGTGATGACTAGAAGGAACGGGTTGCAGCGTGTGCGTTGGGCGTGTTACGGTTGTACATGTGCTTTTGGCTTCTGGGGTCTAGATGCGACGAGTCGAATGACGATGACGTGATTTCAGGTCAAGTTTGCTGACAATGCAATGGGGAAGTTGTTAAAAGCATATGTGCAGACTTGATTGAGATGTAGTACATACATTTTGAGTATAATATGTTCTATCATTCGTTCTAGTGTTGGATAGTGAGGGTTTCATGGCGCAGTTTGGACGTCAAAACGACAACTCATCCTGTCCCATCGCACAAAACCCCTCTCCCCTCACCCATCCCAACGTCATGACTCCCACCCCCACCAAACGCCCTCCTGACTCAAGCCACCCCTCTTGAAACAAGTGCAACGCGTGACGATCCGCAGGTCCGCAGCATCAGGCACTTTCCGATGCTACACTGTCTCGCGGGCCGAATCGTGTGGTACTAGGGAGGTTTGGGGGTTTGTGTGACTGTGGCGTTCTGGGTGGGTTTGTTGGGATGTGGAAGTGGCTTTGAGGTACAGGTGCAGGTGCGAGGGCGTCGAGTCAAGCTCACCGTTCACGGGAGGACGCGTGGCGGTCAACCTTTCACATTATTGAAGCTACGACTACTCAATGACTAACACATTTTCCGTGACATGTCTCGCAGCCTCCGCGTTCCCACTGATAGCGTAGATACTCTGAATCGCAAACGCCGCTTCGAACTTGAAGTCTTCATGGCCCCAGTTCCCGTCCGAGCATTGATCCGCAGCTTCCTGTTTGACGCGCTCGCTCATCGCGATGCAGCGCTCATACGCAGGCAAGGCATGGGTTACAAGACCTAGCCCATGCCATATACGTGCAAAATTGAACTCCGCTTCCTGGCAGTGAATGGCGATGTTGTCCTTTGTGCGGAGCTCGTAGTAGCGATTGACGAACGCGAGACCTTGTTGGATCTGGTACTGGCGATTTTCCGAGAGACGTTTCATCGCGTGTTGGATGTACGCGATGCCAATGCTGAGGTTGAGAATCGGGTCATCAGGCGTGATGGCGAAGGCGCGGAAGTAGTAATTTAGTGCAGCCATGTAGGAGCCACCGCACTGGAGGACATGAGCGTAGAGCGCGAAGAGCGCTGGGTCGTGGTCTACAACGAACTTGACGTCTTCTCTGTTGACGGAGTTCTGGAAGCCGCCTGCGTTGTCCTTGCGGTCGCGAAAGTTGTACCATATGCGTTGTTCTTCGGTGAGGAGCGCGAAGTCCATGGTTTTGATGTAGCGCATGAGGATCTTGTGGGACGGGCCGGTCGAGTAGCCTTCGGGGATTGTGCAGAGACGATTGACACAGCTGTAGAGGCGCAATAGATCGGTGCCGAACGGATGCTCTTTGAGTAGCCAGCGCACTGCGGACGACGCTTGATTTGAGTTGTCCACGGCGAGCGCGCACACCAAGCGACAGATTTGGAGTTGGTGCCGATACTCCTCCGAACGCCAAACTAGGTTTGACTGTAGAGCAATGTCTAAGGTACTGAAGCAACGCTCGTCGTCGCCTTCACGTGCGAGTATGATGGCATAGCGACCGAAGGCTTCGATCCACTTGTCAAAATGCACACCCCAGAAGTCTGTTGGGGGGGTTTCTGGCCTCTCGATAAGTTCTGGGTCTGTAGCACCATCCTCAACATTGTTCGCTGCAACGGCGAGAACCATGAGTGCAGATTCCTTCCATAGCTCATGGTCACCTGTTCGCCTGAAGTACGAGATAAAGTCCTCCTTCCTGCTGGCGTAGAATATGTCGAATGTTGAGAACTCTTCTATGAGCTCTCGTGTAATCGACAGCAGCTCAGTGATGGCAGCTTCATCTCCATTCTCCGCAGCGTCTGAGATTTCGTCAAGTTTCTTGAAGCTCGCCACTGTCTCTCGGTGCTGTTTTCGGGCAGTTTGTAATTCTTCGGCGTGGGTTTTAGCCAGTGCGTCGAGCCTTTGTCTGAACAACCTCTGATCAATAGCCTTGAGAGGCACACTTGTACCCTCAATCGTGGTCGGCTTCGCCACAGACGCACGCTCACCTCCACCCTCGGACGGGAAGGGCAGGAATGTCTGGGCTTTGGCTTTGGTAGGCTTCGCTCTTTTTGTGCGGAACAAGCCTTGATTGGGTCGCTCCGCGAGTGGTCCAAGAGAAGGAAGCTCTTTGTCGGCGCCTTCATTTGCGGAGTCCTCATCTGCTTCTCCTCTGCCAGTAGCTTTCTTAGAGAGCTTTCGCTGTCTCCTGGCAGTACTTTTCCGCGCACGGTGATTGCCGCGAGCTTTCCTTTTCGCGGCAAGGTACTCATCCCTCATGTCATCGTAGGCTTTGAAGCCCAGTGCCCGCAGTCTGTGGGCGTATTTGTTCCTGTAGAGTATTTCGGCTCGTTGAACAGCTTCTGCTAGCATACCTTGTCGCTCGAAGAATACTGCAAGCTTGACGAGGTCATCTACTGACTCCGCGTTCCAGTCCTTGAACATCGGTATCATTTCTTCTGCTCGTTCAGGTTGACCAAGATTTTTGAAGCAGGTAAAGATGCCGAGGTTGCTCAGTAAACTAAGTTCCTCGGAGTTGACGTTGTACAGAGGCTCGTAAAAGCGCATGGCATCCTTGTCGTGACCAGTGGCGTGTAGTGCATCGCCAATGACGCGGAAAAGATCCTCGTAATCCCATACGAGCGCGTCGGCGCCGTGATCATCAGGCTCGAGCATTTCGAAGTGGCGCATGGCTTCCTGAAAATCTTCAGCGCTCCTCCGCAGGCGGAACATGCCCATCTTCACCCTAATCTCCAGTGGCAGAGTCTGCCCATTCGTGGCGCTCTGTGTTTTGCACTTAAACTGAGGGACAGCTACGCGCCTCGGCTCGTCATCGATGTCGAATTCGCAGTCGTCCGGTTGATCATCCCAGAACGTCTCCTTGGCTCTGCCCTGTTTCCACCGCGCCAGAGCCTTGAGTCGTGACAATGCATACTCATACTGCCTGTCTCTATCAAGCAGGTCCAGGTATATATTGATCATCTCCCAGTCAAACTCGCTGCTGTTGGATTTCCTCTCGATAAAGTAATCGATAGCATCCTCAAACACATTCAAGAGTTTCTTCATGTGCAGTCTCGTCTGGCGTTTTGTTGACGTTCCCATCATCGCCATAATCTTCAGAACCTCCGTATCTGGTGGCTCGTCCTTCTCCTTGCGCAGTTTGATCATCTTGAGACCCTGTTTGATACATTTGGAGGCGTGTCCAAGGCTAGCTTCGATCTCGAGAATTTGGCTTCGGGCTCCGTAGTCATTCTGGTCCAGAAGAATGACCTGCGTCAAACATCTCAGAGTCAGAGCTGTCTTGGCCTCTTCTGTGTACTCCGGATAGGTCGCTTCATCTAGTTTGTTGACTCGACCAATGATGACGTGCCAAAGATCGGGGTCACGCTTCGTTGGCGCTCCAATAATGAGCGAGTCAATCGACTTGACCTCTTCGCCCATCATCCTATAGATCTCGGATGCAATGTTGTGGACTTCGAAGATCTCCGGATTCATCTGTATAGCTCTCTGGGCGTACTCGAGGGCCAGGGGAAAGTCCTGCGCAGCGAACCTCTCATTGGCCTTTCTTTGTAGCTCCCTAAATTCCTCACCTGGATCGGCAACCTTGCGAGGTCCCTGGCGCCCACCTCTAGCTCCTCGGCCTCGGCCTCGGCCTCGTCCGCGACTGGATTTTCCCCTGCCTCGTGTGGAAGTTGATCCTGAATGTCCACCTCGTCCTCGGCCTCGAGATCGTCCTCGACCACCAATGATACTTGTCACAGTGGCGCCCCTAGCAGCAGGCTTCCCTCTCTTCCTCTGAGCCGGCTCCTCACCATCGTCGAACTCTACCTCCAACTCCATTTCGTCAGGATCGCCCTGATCATGTTCTGCATCTTCTTCAGAGTAGTCTTTGTCCACCTCGGAGTTGTCTCTCTCCTCAAGCTCACGCATCGACTCTTCAAAAGTGAGCTCGTCGTGATCCCCGTCATCAGAGCTGTCGTCGAAGTCACGATCAAGATAAGTTCCGCCGTAGTCGCCAGGCAACGCTGGATAAGCGTCCTCATCATTTCGACCCGGAGCTGGGATATAACCTTCATGGACTACAGGACCACTGGTGACGAAAGGAGCTCCACTGAAATTCTCCGGTACGGCACCATTAGTGAATGGAATTTGTGGCAGCTGCAAATCCTCAACGGCACTCAGAGGAATGAGTGGGGTGAAGGCAGCTTGAGGTGGCTGCTGATACGCTTGCTGCTGAGGCGCAAACTGTCCCGGAGGATATTGAACTGGAAATTGCGGCCGCTGGACTTGCGCCTGTGGCCTGGCTAGACTCGGTGCTGGCGCACCACTGAAGGTACCTGAGACAGGCACAAAGCGTTTACCGTTGGGCGGTGGTGCGGATTGCCACTGATGATAAAAGCCATTTGGCGGGTTCATGCTGGCTGTATATGCTGCGCCGTATTAGTTGTGGCATTTGTTAGCGGTGGATCATGACTGCAAGTGGTGATTGCTGGTCGGTAGACGCGCTTCCGAAGATGTGGTCTGAGTTAGCGCGCTTTTCACGAAGTCCCGTGCGTTGTGGGGACTGCCGAATCCGAGTCTGACGGCTCAATCCCAGCACTTTCCTCTTACAATTATCAGAATGGATCAGCATCGCGATAGTGCCAGCAATAACATTTTTTTTCCAAAATGCCCTGGAACCTTGCATATCGACAGCGCGACTCTCTGCATCGTCCCGCGGGAAGATACTTAACTCTCGAACCGAGATGAAACTAACGACGCGCTACAACGGTTGTCTAACCCATTAGGCTATACCCCTTCGCCTCGTCAGGCGCGCTGTCAATTGTCGCAGAGTCGAGTAATGGGTCATGTGGTAAGTCTTTTATTAGGTGTAGGGGTATAATAAAATTGAGCCGGGCATTGCATGAGTAGGTATATTGTTTGGCATTCCCCATTCCCTTTGGTCGCGTGAACGTACCGATTCATCCAGTGCTGCTCCATACAAATTCAGACAACATCGCAAGTGATTCACTTTTGCGACCACGGCACAATGCATTTACACAGTCTTGCTTGGGGCGCGTTATTGTGCCGACCGATACTAACCCTCAGTATACCAACCCAGCATGGAGCGCAAATTCCGATAAGGGTTGAAGAACAAAAAACGACGAAGCCGGTCGCCAATTCTGTAATCCTGGCTTATACAAGCGACGGTACAGATCGGGTTCAGCATGCTGAACTTCCTCTACAGCAGCAAATATCTTCTGGTACAACTTTTAGGTCAAACGCCTTGACCGTCCAGCTAATGTTCTGTGTAGGTGTCGACCTACCAGCCCATCCCGGTTCAATACGAATAGAGACAATGTTAAACGACAAAGGAGGATTCGTCTCTCTAGAAGAATTGGATCAGGTTATGTGCCGGGTCATACCACGATTGAGCATGGAAGAAAAAGCATCGCTAGAAGCCGCGGGGATGGGCAAGGCTTGGCCATGGTTCAAGATTAGAGATGAAACAGTGTCGTTCAAGAAGTCGTCTTCACGCTGGTTCCTCGCCGGCCGATCAATACAAAGTTATGAGTGTCGATGACACATGGAATGTAATGCTAGCCATTTAATGTAATAGATGTCAAGATGCAAGTCGAATTTGTCCAAACTCTGGGGATCTTGGGATACCTGGAGTGGTGCTGAGCGTCCCGTTCGATATGCACAGACGCCGTCAGATCAACAGTGCTCAGCAGCTATATTCAACTGGGTAGATTCGGGGTATAGTAAAAGGTGCACACTGACGCGGCAGATGATGTAATGAAAAGACCAGTTCAATGGCCAGATGGTATGCTGCATTCAATAGCAAGCTTCTTGAAAAGATTAATGGCCGAAGTGTTCAGTCCCAAACGCCAAGCAATGCAACTCTGATCAAGATCACACTCGATCATCGCCTTCGTTCAGGTTCGCCATTTCGTACTCGCCCGCTCCGTCCCTCCCTCTTCCCCTGCCTCGGCCTCTTGATTCACCAACACCATCCTCCTCCGCGGGCTGTGGGTTCGCAGCGGCCTTGTTTCCGCCAAAATTGATGGGCTTCAGCTCCCGCCACTGACATGCCCATGTGCCAACGGATATCATTACTGTCGCGCTACACATTTGGAGCATCCACCATAGGAGATTGGCCGGGACAGCATGCGAGTATAACGACGTGGTGACGAGATGGATGAAGTGTATAGTGAGGGCGAAGTCGAGCACGAGTTTAGATCGCGCGATGAGAAGAACAATAAAAATGACACTGTTACAGATTAGTGTCGCGCATAAAGTGTCCTTGAAGTATGCTTGCCATATGAGACTGTTCAGCACCCATACCAGCCCCAGGGTCCAGCCAACTGTGGTATCACCGCGCAGACTGCGCCAGTTGAATAATAGATCCGTGCTGACTTCCTTGCCCGCTACGATGGCCGTGAAGACAATGAGCACTGCGGCGCATGCATAGTAGGCCAGTTGGAGAAGCACAATCTGGGTGAGGATGCGGGTCGGGGAGAGGTCCGCGAGGGCGCCGGGTCGAGGAGGACGGCGTCTACGCGCCATGAGTGTATGCTATGAGCGGGACATAGGGAAGGGGTGACGCTGTCGGGGATATGGAATGTAAATGGGTTGCCTGGAGTCGTTCACGGAGTTGTGAGGCACTTCGGCGAAACGTAAGCCCCGACATCATAGCTCCCGCTGTCGTGCGCCAAGCTCCATGTTGAAATCATTGCCATCATCGCAACTTCGCCATCGACGACCACGAACCACACCACGAGTGTTTCTGCCGCGCGGACATTGCAGTACGACTCCCCTACGATATACGTCGAATGTGCAAGGCACTACCGGACACTGCTGACCCCAGTCACAGCTCAATTCGCCTCACCTGATTTCCTACCTCGAACATTGACACAGCATACCGCGAACATGGGCTGGTTTTCTTCAAGCCCAAAGGACGAGGGAGGGCCGGCAAAGACATCTGGCGGCGCATTCGAACAGCCCAATCGATCGAACCGGAAACAGTGCTACGCAGCACGCGACGCCTTTTTCGAGTGCCTCGACAAGAACAACGTCCTTGACAGCATCAACACAAAATCAGGCAGAGAGAAGGCACAGACATTCTGTGGTCAGCTGGATCAGGAGTTCGAGAAGAACTGTGCACATAGTTGGGTAAGTCGACTTGCGTTGACAGCGGCGTGGCTCAGCTCGTGAATGTTGCGAATCCCAGTCCACCAGGATATACTTGGCAAACATGGAGGGGAACGACAAGGAGCTGGCAAACGCAATACGAGGCTAGACAGTCGTTGCGTGTACGCTCAGGCTGTTGCATGCGCAAGCTACCTCCGCGCCCTTGTCCTTCCCCTCATGAACCAGAGACCAGGGTGCTGGACGCAATGGCACTGGTGGACACTGATTTGCATTCACGAGCGGGATCTACCATGTCACCACTACACTTTCGGGGTGAGCATCCGGCTGACTAGTCACAGGTTGAGTACTTCAAGAAGCAGCGGGTGGTCAACTACCAAAGAGAGCAGACCATCAAGCGGATAGAGTCCCAAGGCGGCGAGATCGTCGCGCCGCAGCTTCCTCTTCCGGGCCAGAAGTAAATGCGAACTTGAGCGAATCCAGTAATGCCCTTTTGACGAATCCTGTACATTATGTATACTACAGTACATTAGACTGCAAGCCTGCGACTTGGTGGCAGGCTGCAAACGCGAGATCAGCGCCTTGCAAACAAAGTTTGGCGCGCATCCACACCACTCCTACCCCTCAGCAATTCGCAAGTGTAAACTTAGGTGTTCATCAGGCGTATTCCACCTAGCACACACAACACACCAGCTCCATACGACGTTGGACTTGACCTAATCAAGATTCTGCACAATTTGCTGCGAATGTAATAGTCCAGCAGGGGCCCAGCAATCAGGCCGCATAATGTCGTCACTAGCGCTTCTGCGCAAACAACTCTGCAGGAACAGGAACAGGAACAAGGACAGCAACAACCGGAGAAGAGCAACATTAAACCACCTTGCATGTCCTCACAAAACCAAAGCAAGGACCGAGACAAAGCTGTGCCAAACGACGGAGCATTTCTGTCGAATCACGCATGCTGGGTGCCTCGCAGTAAGGCCGTCAGGGCTGAACCCAGCGCCTTCTTCTTGCAGGGCTCCGAGGAGTAGGTTGTGTCACGTAACACTGAGCATGAGACACACCGCACATGCCGGCAATTCCATTCTACCTATCTGTGCCGCGCTGGGAGTGATTCTCCTGTGCTCGCCCGTTTTACTGTTTCAAGACGCGCGCCTGGGCAGCACAGGGTTTTTCTTGCTTTCTTTTTTTTCCCGCCAATCTGTCATCGAGTCGTGGTGAACTGTTCCGGGCGAACGACGCGGGACAACAAGGGAAACCCAATCGAACAAGCCTCCAGGGCCTCGAACCTTGTTCCTTTTTTTTCTTTCACGCCCACCTTTTTTTTTCCTGATGGCAAAAGTCCTGACAAATGTTTGACAGCGAGACTGGCGATAGCGCCTGATGGTTACCAAATGCTTGTGACAGTGTAGGAATACTGATTGGCTGGTGCGTTGCAGCAAGGCGCAAGTTGCAGATAGCCGAGACGTCTTAATGAGATCTATGGTAGCGTGCTACCGGTAGTGGCCCCCACATGCGCCACTGACAGCATGCATCCTGATGCGACCCCACCTTCGGAATAATGGGCAAGTGTGCGTGTATGTGTGTGTGCGTGTGCGTGTGTGTCTGTGTCGGTGTTGTCATGATTCATTTCACCAGCCGTACTTTGTGGGAAACAGCGTCTGGGGATCGAATTCCCTCTGGAAGACTTCAAAGTCTGGCGCGCATCCTTTCAACGGCGTGCCGACCATGCTGCTGTCGATGGCGAAAACGACGTCCTGGAATGCGCCGTGGAACTCTTCTTCTTCGAACAGTAGCTTTCTCCACATCCGCGCTACCTCTGTGGCCGGGTTGCGGAAAATTGGCCCTAGCCCGAACGCCCCCAACACGAGGTTCCTGTGCCCGCAGTACGAGGCGATTCGAAGCACGGCCCGCATCTTCTCCTTCATCAGCTCCTTCTCCTGCGCGAACGAGTACTTTGTGCCCGACTCATCCAGCTTGGGCCGGCGCACTGGTGCAACAGAGATGACGGGCAGCGAAGCAATCTCGTTGAACGTAGCATAGTCCTGTTCGGGGCCACCTCGAAAAACAACTGTGCGGACCGTTAGAGATGGGCGGCACGTGGACGCCAGGGCTGTTTCAGCTTACAAACTTGCGGAGAGTAGATGCCGCCTTTCTGGGGTATCGGGTAGAAGTTTTCCTCGCGTCCCATTTGGGCATTCCAGGGCATGGTGAGGGCGTGGACGAGGTTGCTCCTCCGCGCGAAGCACTCTTCTGGTGCCATCAGCCCTGATTCCCAGTCTCCCCCGGCCCGCTTCTCGTTGGCCACGTTGACCACGGGTATTCGTTTACAGTCTGGATCTGAGTTGGCTAGGCTCTGGTACCAGCCCAGAGCGTAGGTCACCGGGTCACCTTCCATGACGGCAACCCTTGTCCGTTGTGACGACCGCTTGTCGACGTTGATCCGTATTTGTGTTGCGTCCGGGTACAGATATGATGTTTTGGCTTCCCTGATATAATTCTTCCAGATATATGGCATCCACACTCTTTTTGCCTCGGCAGCTATCTCCGACGGCTTTGGTCTTGAGGGCGCCATCACAGGCGTGAACAGCGCAAGTAGGAAGTGAATGCAAGAGTCAGGTGAGCGATTGTCTATAATGTCTAAGGCGAAGCAATTCAGAATCGAAAGTGAGAAAGAGTGGAGGAGCGGCTGGCACGTTTGAGAGCTGGGGCCCGGGCCGGTAAAAGGGCAGTATATCACTGCTCAGGTGTTCAAGGGCGTGATAAAGCAACTAAATTATAGACTCAGATCGAGCCGCGTACTAGCTAGGCTCCATGTTCGATGCGCCGAGCACAGAAGCGGTATACTTCAGCGCAAAGCAAGCTTCCCGTGCTTCCTACAGGGTTTTGGGCATCGTAGCTGCACGCCGTACTGACGCTTGAGTCGTGACCATGTGCAATTTAGGGTAGGCACAGGGCTACAGTTACCCGGAAACAGCCGCGCGCTGTGTCTGGTGGCTTCCCCTGGTGTGTGGAGGCAAATGTCAAGTCCCAAGATCGCAACGCTGCCAGGGACCCGCAGCCGCAAAAGGACTTGTGGGCGCTGAGTTTGCTGGAGCAGGGGTGTTGGCTGCCAGGATCGATCGTCCAGACCTCTAGGCGATCTGCATAGACCGTATCGGTGAAAGCATCTCAAAAGAGATCTGACGGCGCCCACCAGCTATCCCGATGATGACAGTCGCCTTTGAGATCCTGCACAAAGGTAGCGTTGCAGCGGTAGCGTCGGCACTATGATCCGGGATGCAGGGTCAATGCACCAGTTCCTGTGATCGGATGGAAGGCTGGCTGTTCTACGAGCGAGAGTCTTCACCGCCGCAGAGTCGTACACAACGGCACCACGTAGCGAGCATATCCGCAACAGCCGATGCAGTAACGGGTACACGGTTTGCATCCGCTTTTGTACACTGTCAGGGACCAGGGCTGAGCGGCGGTCCAGATGTGTGGCGCTCGAATCGGTGTGCATTTTGAATGTGGAGAGGCACAGGGCCCTGTGGGACCAATGGGAGAGCCAAACAAAAGCCGGGCGGGCCACCGTCCCATTGCTGCTGTGATACGCGATTTAGATCTGGTGCATAGGTCAGGCCAGGATCTCAGTGTTTCAGAGTGTTCAGCAAGGGCTTGATGTGTGTTACGACAGACGAAATGACGAGGGATGCCGACTACTTTCAATTTTGAGAGTAGGCAGGTACACTCGGATAGTGGCCCGTGCACCACCTTCTCTGTCAAAGTTTCATCACCGACGTTGATAATGTGCTACCTCAAGTTTCAACACACGCTGCGCAGTGGCCGGCTTAGCAGTGCTAATTCGCGTAAATGACCTGGATGCTGCACATTCGAAGGACCGCATTCCGTCCTTCCTTACTGCGTCACAGCTGGGGAACGTCTGCCGCAGCCGCCCAAGCGACGTCGCCATGTCATTATCGTTGCAGCTCAACATTCTACCCAAACAATATAGCTGAGCTGCTGAGGCCGTCCCCCTCACAGATATCATCTGCGCAACCGAGTGCATCAGACGGTCAATCCCTGACGGTCAACGGCTATGTACGCACTGTACGCAAGCAGAAACGCATAGCCTTCGCTGCTATTGGCGATGGCTCGACACTGCAGACGGTGCAAGCTGTCCTGCCACCTCAACTAGCAGAAGGGTCAGTCAAACACCCCAGTGCAATCTGCAATCTGCAATCTGCAATCTGCAATCTGCTGACGTGTCATTGACCAGGCTTTCGACTGGCGTTGCAGTAACAGTCAGTGGCAAGTGGACACCATCACAAGGCCAGGGACAATCTCACGAGCTTCAAGTAGATGACGTCCGCATTCTGGGAGAAAATGATGCTGCGGTATGTTATTGTCAGCCGTCACGACCAATGTCGGATTTGTTTCTGAGATACTCGAGTGTAGACCTCCCCCATTCAGAAGAAGTACCAAACCGCCGAGTATCTTCGAACAGTTCCCCATCTGCGACCTCGCCTTCCGCTCAATGCTCTCATTCTTCGCCTAAGGTCTTTAGTTACGGCTCAAGTGACTAGCCATTTTGCCAGGCAGGACTTTGTCCAATGCCACCCTCCAATCATCACGTCTTCAGACTGCGAAGGCGCTGGAGAGGTGTTCACCGTTGCACCATATGCGCCATCCACGTCGACATCTGAACCCGCCAACCAGGCCAAAGAGCACGACGATCATTTCTTTGGTTCTCCAAAGTACCTGACTGTTTCAAGTCAGCTACACCTAGAGGCACTAGCTCAGTCAGTGAACAAGGTCTGGACTCTATCGCCAACGTTCCGCGCAGAGAAGAGCGATACAGCACGTCATCTGAGCGAGTTCTACATGCTTGAAGCAGAACTAGCATTTGTGGATGACCTGCAAGTCGTCATGAATGTCGTTGAGGACCTGTTGCGCGCTGTTGCAACCGAATTACAGTCTTCAGTCGTTGGGCAAGAGTTACTCGAGAGTCGAGCACGAGATCACAGCACCGAATCTGCTTCCTTGTCGCGTGATGCACTTGCACAACGTTGGCAGGGTCTGATAGATGGGCCATGGCCTCGAATCACGTACGAAGCCGCGCTGCAACATCTCAACGATGCCGTGAAGCAAGGCAAGGCAGCCTTTGAATTTGCACCTGGGCATGAAGATGGTCTTCAGACAGAGCACGAGCGCTATCTGGCTGAAAGCCTCGGACGAAGTGGGCCTGTCTTCGTGACTGACTATCCGCGCAACATCAAGCCGTTCTACATGGCGCCATCAGCTGACTTGCAAGCCGAGGGACAGACTCCATCGACGGTCGCATGTTTCGACCTGCTCGTGCCAGAGCTCTGCGAGTTGGTCGGAGGATCCATGCGCGAGCACCGGCTACCCGAGCTTTTGAAGTCGATGCAAGACCACGGGCTCCCGACACAAGGCATGGGCGAGACCGAGTCTGAGGTAGCACGTGGCTCATTGCAATGGTACGTCGATCTACGACGATACGGAAGTGTGCCGCACGGGGGGTTTGGCCTTGGGTTCGACCGTCTTTTGTGCTACCTCTCTGGCGTATCCAACATCCGGGATGTCGTCAGCTTTCCACGCTGGCATAAGCGGTGCGACTGCTAGCGAGCGACCCATGGCAGTGTGGGTTCCTGCAAGTCGGTTGCGACAGCCGCAGGTCGACGTAACGTGATCAAATCGCGCAAAAGGGCATGGGTTGTTGGGTGTTGTGTAGTGTAGCGCTCTCAGCAGCTGTACCTGTAAGATGGCGAAGCGAGTTTAATCTACTGCAGGTTGTCACCAGCGACTGAAAGGGACTGGGGCATCTGAAGCCATACACCAGGCCTTGTTGTCGCAATCGACGCCTAGCAATACTGTGTATAGGTCCAGGCTATTGGATACTCTTGTTTGTTGTCTGTCTTCGTTGATAGCCGTCCCTACTTCCCTCTCTATGTACTTCGGCTGGATCGTCGCGCATTGCTGCATACTATGGAATCACTGGGCACTAGCCCGTCGGACGCCGAGTCAGGCGCTGCGTTGTCTCTAGACTGCTGTATAAGCAAGCATTTCTAGACCATTGCGTGTCCCCAAAATCCAACATTACGTGGCATTAGCTGGCAATACGTTCTGCAATTACTTTCTGTGCCGTGCTTTCGTTGCCCTAGATTATTACGAATAGTCTCGATGTTTGCAAGAATAGGCGGCGTGGGCGGGGATCGAAACACGGAGATGATCAGATAAGATATCTTCACCGAATTTGTGCATGCGTTCCCCTCAACGCCCCGGGAGGCACTTCTCCGGTCCGAGCTAAGGTGCAATGAAGAAAGTGTCTCCGCGGCTGCAAACATATGGAAAGTAAGCAACTTAGCAAATGGGAGGGAACTGGAAGTGCGCTGCAGAATAGAGTAAATGACGGCATTAGAAGCGCGATGCAGATGGCAAAAATGGCGATGCGATGATGATGCAGCCAGGAACGTGCTCCGGCATCGCTACTAACACGACGACTACGTAGGTAAATTGATGGTGCGGGCTCTTATAGCTGCGCTGCTCATGACGGCGACGGCGCCTCGGCGCTCGGTTCCAAACTAGTCCAGTGTGCATTACTGCGAAAAGTAACTCCAACTCCAAACCCGCCCCATTGACGTCCCATCACTGCCACGGCACGCGCAACACGTGCCCTCGATCGCCGGCACCCGTCCTGTCTCTGCACCGCTTCAATCGCAACCCTGGACTCAGCAGCGGCGACTCCTGGCCGACTCATGGCCACCCATGATCGACCGGCTGTTCCACTCGAAGAAGAACACGAGTACGGCTCCGCTACACGACGAATACTGCAGGAAACAGGCCGCTGACTACCGCACCAGCTATGAAGCTCTCCCGCCAAACTTCTCCCTCACCGCGAACATGCTCGCAGGCGCGTTCGCGGGCATTGCCGTATGCTCCGGTCCCGCTGAACACGTAGAAACAAATATTAACCCAACGACAGGAGCACTCGGTGATGTACCCCGTTGACCTCCTGAAGGTATGCAGCTGCCGCGACAGCCATTGACGTGTCCCGGGCGAAGCGCTGACTCCCGGAAGACCAGGATCCAAATCATCAATCCCTCGCCGGGCGCCATGTACAGCGGCATATCCAACGCCATGGTCACCATCTCGCGCGTGGAGGGCTTTCGGACCTTATGGCGAGGCATATCGAGTGTTATCATGGGCGCAGGTCGGTCTATCGCGCCCCATGGCCCTGCTGCAGGGCACTGACACTGCGACAGGACCCGCGCATGCCGTCTACTTTGCCTCGTACGAAGCCACCAAACACGCCCTGGGCGGAAACGAGGGCGGCAGCGAAGAGCACCATCCTCTTGCAGCAGGTGCGCAGGATCAATCATCTAACCACTCGAGCTTGTCGCTAACTGCAGCTAGCTGCCAGCGGCGCGGCTGCGACCATCTCCAGCGATGCGCTGATGAATCCTTTTGACGGTAGGTTGCGCACTCCGCGAGCGCCAGCAGCACTGAAGGCAACCCAGTTATTAAGCAGCGCATGCAAATGCACGGCTCCATCTACAAGTCGGTACCCCACTGCGCGCGGGAGGTGTTCCGCACCGAGGGCATTGGCGCATTCTACGTCTCATACCCGACCACACTGTGCATGACCGTGCCCTTCACCGCATTACAGTTCATGGCATACGAATCCATGTCCAAGGTCATGAACCCCACCGGACGCTACGACCCCTACACACATTGTTTCGCAGGAGGAGTTGCGGGTGGTTTTGCAGCGGGGCTTACCACGCCTCTGGACGTCATCAAGACATTGTTGCAAACGCGAGGAAATGCTGCAGACGCCGAGCTCAGGAACGTGTCCGGACTATGGCAGGCGGCCAAGATTATTCACCAAAGAGAAGGATACGGAGGCTATTTCCGAGGGCTGAAGCCCCGAATCATCACCACGATGCCTAGCACGGCCATTTGCTGGTAAGTCCACAGCAGGCCGCTGTTGTGAGATCAATCTGACACGCCCAGGTCCGCATACGAAATGGCCAAGGCCTTTTTTATTCGTCGGAGTACCGACCCGTCCACATCCATATAACACCTACCATTCTTCACATTCGACAATCCACCCTCCGCCCCGCAAGGCTGCTCGACAGGACGATTTGTGCATACCTACTGTGACGATACATAACGCGACTCTGGGAACGAGAGTCGGACCACGCTTTTTTTCAACATCTAGAGCAAGGCTCGGTGTCGCATTTCGAGTAGCCAGGTCGACCAAAAGTGATCTTGCGGAGCCATCCAGTTTCTTAGCGTAGGCATAGAGGCATCACCGGATTCTGCTACTGGACGGATTGGACCATGTGGCGGCGTATGGATTTTTTGAAGCCAGTTTTGAGCGCATATTTCTGGTCAGCGCAGATACACCTGTACCATAGGAGACTTGTTGCGTGAGCGATAGCGACTTTTATGTTATGAGCAGATACATAGTCCTGGAGGTGCGTAATCGATAAATGATCGCCCTAGCGTAGCCCCAGCCCGACCCGCACTTGCACATGCACTCATCCCATGATCCTTGAGACAATCCTTAGGAGTTCGACGTGTGAGAACATGTGATATGTTGCTCGGGTTGGCATAGTGAGGGGCCAAGGGTACACAGGACGATCTTTTGGGCGATAAGCTTTAATATCTAGCAGTGCCGCACGCGTTGGGTTGGCTCAAAGTTTCCCAGCATTGGCCGACAACTACGTCACACATCGGCGCGACCACCCAAGCCCGGCGCATACGACGCACTGAGCCTCAAACACTAGATTGTGACCTCTACGACCGTATTCTCGCCATTCCACAACACATGCCATAATTCACGAGTCTCGCGACCGACGACGATATCGCAATGCGAGCAAACACGACCCAGAAAGCCTACGATGAGGCTTTCCTAGCCTGCTCCACTGCCGTGTACTTTGAAGGACAGGTGAGTCCGATCTCTGAACGCGGCCAGAGGGGCTGGAATGCGGGCTCTGCTAATACTGCATCTTGCAGCACAACGAGAAGGAAGCGCTGCGATCGTGGAAGACGGCCCTCGACCACATCTACTACCACAATGCCCGACGCAACCCAACCTCGTACCGGCCCACATCGTCGACGGAGAAGGCTCTCTTTGAGTCGCTGAGGCAGCTCGAATTACAGTGCAAGGAGCGTGTGGACTTGTTGGAAGCACTGGAAAAGAGTCGGAAAGACTCCAAGGAGAGCCTCGTCTCGCCATCGCCTACACCCGACGCCAACGCTCCAACCCCGCCTCCGCATGGCTACCCACTTGATTCGAGCAGTTCAGATGCGCCCTCCGGCTGGCTTGGAGGAGCCTCTATACCTCCCATGGATTACAGTGACCTTGGGAGGCCGCCGCCTCTTCCTCTACGACCAGCCATGGCTCCGCGCAAAAGCTCCGGTACCGGCTCGATACGTGACAATGAACTGACCAAGTCCGCGAGCGCATCTACAATTACGGCCGGAATTGCTGGCGAGAAGAAGTCGCGTACCCCGTCACCAGAGAAGAAGGGTAGAATGCTACGGACATTGAGACCTGGAAGGGAGGGCAAGTCAGCTTCGAAGATGCCCAGTTCACTGCGGTCGCGACCTGAGGCTTCAAAGGCGGCTACCCAGGCGTGGGGATTTGGATCAGCATCATCATCAAGCAGGCCAGGCTTGGGTCTTCCTACCCCTTCTACAAGCTCAATCAATACGTCAACACCACACAGACCAAGTCTAGGCCTGCCAACCCCTTCTGCAGCGTCACTCAGTGCCGCATCAGCGCGCTCTTCGATGGAAAAGGCAGATAAGCCAAGTGCGCAGTCGTCATATGCAGAGTCGCCACAGCCGCAGCAATCGCAAGCACCGTTCTACTTCAAAGCCGGCGAGGGCTCAAACGCCACTGCATACGCTGTCCCGCCACTCAGCCATGGAAGTAATTCGGAGCCTGGCAGCGTACCTACTCTCCAACGAAAGGCGCCCCCGATTCCGCGGAAGTCAGTGGAGCTTGGCCGGGCATCAGGCAACCAGAACAATCCTGCGCCATTGCCTCCCATATCGATGCCATCTTACCGCAAGGAATACACGACCCCTATGAATAAGGTAGATGCACGCGTTGTGGCAAAGACTGCTGCAGCAAGATCGCGCATTGAGATGGACAATGAGAGATTCGCACCTGCACAGAGTTTGGCGCCAACACGCCGCGCGGTAGCACAGCCGATTAATAACACAAGATCACGCAACACTCGTGGTCGGGATAATCCTGAGCCTGTAGCACTGGAAGATGGGTCAGAGGAAGAGCAAAGGTCGCGTATGCCTCCACCGCGCAAGGGAAGAGCTAGGGGCGACTCGATACGTGCAGATTTACCTCCGAAGCCGTCCTCAGAGACCACCGACTCGGACAAAGAAGAAGGAGAGGAGGAGTCAGATGAATGGAAGAGGCGGACAGATGAGATTATGAGAAACCTTCCGCGAGGCGTCGACAAGCAAGCAGCCCAGCAAATCCTTAATGAGATAGTAATTCAAGGAGACGAGGTGCACTGGGACGACGTGGCTGGTCTGGAGATTGCAAAGTCGGCGTTGAAAGAGACGGTCGTATACCCGTTCCTGAGGCCGGACCTGTTCATGGGGCTGCGCGAGCCGGCACGCGGTATGCTGTTGTTTGGACCTCCGGGTACCGGAAAGACGATGCTGGCGAGGGCTGTGGCAACTGAGTCGAAGTCGACTTTCTTCGCAATATCGGCGAGCAGTCTTACGTCGAAGTTTCTTGGCGAGTCAGAGAAGCTTGTTCGTGCACTGTTCCAGCTTGCAAAGATGTTGGCTCCCTCGATCATTTTCGTCGATGAGATCGATTCGCTGTTATCGTCGCGCTCTGGGTCTGGCGAACATGAAGCGACGCGCCGCATCAAGACCGAATTTCTCATACAGTGGTCGGATCTGCAGAAAGCGGCTGCGGGGAGGGACATGAGTGATAAGGAGAAGGAAAAGGGCGATGCGACCAGAGTGCTCGTGCTCGCAGCCACGAATCTTCCCTGGGCCATCGACGAGGCGGCAAGGCGAAGATTCGTCCGAAGACAATACATTCCGCTGCCTGAAGACTGGGTGCGGAAGAAGCAGCTTCAGACTTTGTTAAGCCACCAGAAGCATGAGTTGGGCGAGAGGGATATGGATCGCCTAGTGAGGCTTACTGAGAGTAAGTTCACGCGTCATGAGTCAAAAAGTATTTACTAACAACTTCGCAGACTTCTCCGGCTCTGATATCACCGCACTTGCCAAGGACGCTGCAATGGGACCCTTGCGCTCACTGGGTGAGAAGCTGCTATCCATGACGATGGACCAAATACGACCCATACAGTTCAAAGACTTCCAGGCTAGCTTGCAGACAATCAGACCATCCGTGAGCAAAGAAGGTCTAAAGCAGTTTGAGGACTGGTCGCGTGAATTTGGTGAGCGTGGAGGATAAGTAGATGCGACACAGCATCGAGTAAGCAACGAGTAATGGAACACATTGAATGCTTCCACCAACATGTACATTCAACAGGGTGATGTTCGTCTAATGCAATGTTTCGCTGGTGGATAGGTGGGTGGCTCCTTCCTCCTTCGCACCCGCGTGGCTAGCGTGCTTCAACAGAAAGTATCTCACCTTCACATCGCAGCATCAAACTTCTTCACATCACCTCTCCGCGCCATTTGAACACTTACGAGACGGATTAAGCAATGGCACCACGCAAGAAGACCGAGGAGAAGGCTTCGGCTAATGAGGCGGCGGATATGGTTCTGCACTATTTGCGTAAGTCGCCCATTTCGTACACGTCGGAAACGCGTGAATGCTGATGTTGAATAGGCAAGCAGAATCGACCATACTCGGCGATTGATGTTTCTGCGAACCTGCATAACAAGGTCACGAAAGGTACTGCCTTCACTGTCCCCTCTCGCCTCCTTACCCATTGATACCACCATCCCTCCTCTCTCCCACACACCCATCGACTGACACCAGCATCGCAGCCGCCGCAGCAAAAGTCCTCAAGGACCTCCACGAGCAGAAGCAAATCGAAGGCCGCCCAGCTGGTAAGTCACCCTTTCTCACACTCCCCACCCTACCCATCCACTAACACCCCCAGGCAAGCAGATAGTCTACCACGCCATCCAGGTACCTTCCCACCCACCCACCCATCCTCTCCCCCTCACTCCACTAACCCCCACACCCAAGGACCCCCTTCCGACTCCTGCACCCCCGAGCAACTCTCCGCCCTCGACACCCTCACCACCGACCTGCGCAACAAAACCGTGCACCTCACCAGCACCGCCAAGACCCTACGCTCCTCCCTGTCATCACTCAATTCGTCGCTCAGCACCGTGGACCTCGTGTCCAGCGTGCACGCGCTCGAGGCCGAGAAGGCGGAGATCCTGGCGCGCTTGCAGAGCCTGAAGGAGGGCAGGGCGAAGAAGGTGACGAAGGAGCAGCGGGAGGAAGTTGAGAGGGAGTGGAAGAGGGCGTGTGCGGTGGCGAAGAGGAGGGAGAGGGTGTGTGGGGAGGTTTGGGGGTATATTGAGGATCAGGTGCCGGATAAGGAGGCGCGGGGGGAGTTGAGGGAGGGGTTGGGGCTGGATGAGTAGATTATGTGGGTGTGGTGTTGTGAGATGGGATCAAGGGATGTTTTGATGATTTCACGAGCGAGATGGCACGGGGAAGATGTTGCGAAGTGCCTCAAGCACATATTATATCATATACCCGCAACATTAGCCTATCCTCGAATCCAAAGCAAATCCCCTCATCTTATGCATGCATCAGTAAAATAAGTTTCCAAGATGCCCCCAAAACGCCACCCTATGCAAGCCAGAAAGAAGAAGAAGAAATGCAACCGCTCAAGAACGCTGATACGAAAAACTCTCCTCCAGCCCCTGCCTCACATCCCGCGAAAGATTCTCATCTTCGCCCTCATCCTCCGCCGCAACAACCGCCTCGTCCCTCAGCCTACTCAACTCCTCTAATTTCCTTGCCAGCGCAGCCCCTTCTTCACGACCGCGCTCAACGTTGACGAACAACATGATGGGAAAAGGCAAGCCGACGAGGACAGCGAGGAACCAGAATGCCTAGAATCTCATATGAGTATAGATCTTCCCACATCAAATATGGAATAAGGGGAAAACTCACAGGCCTAATCTCGCCCCAGCGATCCGTAATCGCGCCGACAATCGCAGGCCCAAAAACACTACTCCCCTTATCTGTGATGGCATACAGGGCGTAAAACTGCGCCTCGTAGCCGCGGGGAATCAACTCGCCGTACAAGCTGCGACAGTACGACGACAAGCCGCCGAGGACGAAGCCGTAGACGGCGCCGAGCGGGTACATTTCCCACTGCTGCTGCAGGCCCAGATAGCCCAGGCGCTGCACGGCGGGGAGGTAGCCGAGCAGGCCGTACAGGGGGATTAATTCGAAGAGGAAGATGCAGCAGAGGATGGTTTGGACGGGGGATAGTGCGCAGAAGGAGGAGAGCCGCGACCATGTGAACGCGCCGAGGACGCCGGAGAGGGTGGCGATGACGTTGATGAGGGCGAGCATGGCATAGCTCATCCCGAGCGTTGTCTTTGCGAAGAGCACGGCGGTGCCGGACACGGTGGCTATGCTGTCTGAGAGCAGGAACCATGCGGTGAGGAAGAGTAGGACGTCTTTGAGGAGGCGCGCGTGCGTGGCGGTGCGGGCGAGGGCTTTCCACGAGTACGAAAAGTATGCGAGTCCGGTGCGGAAATTGGATGTTTGCGGCGCGAGATGAAGGGGTGGGCCGGGGCGCGGACGTAGCCAGCGCGCAGTGGGGATGGTGAAGATAAACCACCACAGGCCGATGATGAAGAGGACGAGGCGCAGGCCGAAGTTGGAGGATTGGAAGAAGATGACGACGATGATGCCCATTGTTTGCACGAGCAGGGCGGCGATGTATCCAATTGCGATGCCGTAGGAGGAGATCTTTGTGGAAAGGGCGAGTTCTTGGGATGGTGCGGTAGAGGGCTTCACCCGTGGGGAGGTTAGGGGGGCGCGGGAGGGGAGGAGTGCGGTTGTTACGTTTGCGGGTTCATCGAGAGCGGCTTCGCGCTGGGAAAGGTGGTTTGCCCAGCGCGCTTCGTGCTCGATGCGCTCTTGAGTGGGGGTTTGGGAGTCGTCTTCTTCCTCATCGCTTACGTAGGAGGTATCGGCGCTGGACTCTGGGTAGCGGACAGTTGGATGGAAGCGGACGAGCAGTGGGAGGAAGCTGTTCAGCAGGACAAAACTTGCGCCGAAGCATGTGTTTGAGATGATGGCGAGCACGGCGCCTAGGAGGTAGACTTTGGGCACGACAGGTAGAAACAGCATAGTCGCTATACTGCCGACAAAGGCAAACCACAAGAGGAATGTTTTCCTGAATCTCGCCATGGTCTGCTGCGCCGCTCATGCTGATGATCAGCAGAGCCTGTATCAGCACCGAGATGCTGAAAGTGTACATGGCGAAGCTGGCCGTATTGATCTCGATGCCCAGAATATGTACGACACATTGTCCCTTCTCCGGATTGGGCCTCAAGAGCGCCTCGAAGGAGCTTGCGGAGAAGGAGGGTGTGATGGGTCGTGGGGCCTTGCATGGGGTGGTGCGGTCGGAGAGAAGGACGCCATTTTCGCGCGCAAGTTGCTCGAGGGTGACGGGAATGAAGCTGCCGATTCCACAGACGACGAAGACCTTGGGCGTGTTAGCTGCGGTTTGGAAGTGGAGCTATTGGAGCTGTGTGGATGCTGGCGCAACCAGCCTGCGAGGCGCGAACGGGACAGGGTACATTCGAAGCTCGCGCATCTGGAAGTCTGAGCATGTTTGCCTTTCTGTCCAGTTTCGAATAGGATGCCTCTACATCTGACCATGGTTCCTCGTGGCAGGCGACGTGCAATAGCTTGGACCCTGAGTGAAGCTTGCCAGGACAACGCGCGCTTCACGCAGCTAGACGAAAAGGAATCGTGACGCGCAAAGATTGTGTCATGAACAGTGAAGAAAGAAGTTATACCTCAGCAGCCCATCCGTACATGTAGAAGCCCGACAGCTCCTTGTTGCTGGTCAACCTGGTGTCTTCGCCCTCATACTGCGGGGAGTCGGCGCTGGACTCCATATCGTAGCTTGGGTCAGACAGGCTCTGCTCATCGTCTGCCTCGTTGGATTGCGAAGAAAGCGGGACCGAGAGCTTAGAAGTGTCGGAGTCGTCGGTCTGACCTCTCAGCAGCTGGGGTCGGTACGGCTCGAAGTCGCCGATTCGAGGCGCACGCGGGACCATGGCGAGGAGGGAACGCTAATTGGGTGGGCAGGTGCGTCACCGCTGAGACATGGCAGGCACACGGGGCGGCGAGGTCAGAGACGCTCGCGATGGCATTCAAAGGCGGCGGAGTTCAGTCAAGTCAGGTGAAGAAGCTGGGGAAGCGCCGAGCAGCGAAGTGGAGAGTATGGGGGGGTTAGGCCGTGTGGGTGGATAGGTTGCGATAGACTGATGGACATGGTGCATGACCTGGCTGGACATCTGATAACTGTCTAGTCGCGATTGAGGCAGGCCGATGATGGATGGGATTGCTGGGCATCATTCGGCCTTGAATCGATACATGCAACCGCAGTTACTGCTCTCTCGGGAGTGGCAGCCGCTGTTTACTTGCGTCGCCGCGTGCACAAGAGGTACGCCTTGCACATGTACCTCGCTCGGCCTCTAGGCTGCAGAAGATAGGTTCCGGTTTCTACAGGCCTTTGCAGTGAAGTTCGAGTAGCGAGCACGTCTATTGATCTGTACAATGCGAATGCTCGCCGAAGAAATACCTGTGTACCTGCACATTGAAGGCATACACAAGCGGGCCACGTGAGAGCCAGGTGCTTCGCTAAACTGGGAAGAAACAATCCTGGGCTTGTATGACGCGATAGATCAGCAAACTTTGAGAGAAAGACCGAGCCAAGGTGATGATGTTCTGAAACATAAAGCGAGGCTCGCCGTGTCTTCAAACAAACCTATCTCAGCGATGGCGGCAAGCGGACCCGTCGTGGCTACAGGCGGGCGTTTGCTAGCTGCAGGGCATCAGGCTTGGGCCGTGGGTCTTCAGCCAAGACTCGGCCTGCCTGACGCAGCTCCTTCCATTCCTCCACATCACCACCACAACCGCCGTCGCGCGCCTGCCCATCACCGCCTGGAGCGCACGCGAACCCACACTCGAGCGCGATCCCGTCGCCGAACCCGCTGGCATCCAAATCCAACAATGCGATAAACGACCGACCGACTTTCTTTGACCCGCTCCTTCCGACCTGATCCCTTTCACCTGCGCTTGCCTTCTGTTCATGTCACTCGTTCGCCCGCCCTTAGTTTCTTAATAAACAACTTCACCGCGCGACTATACCCGTTGGCCTTTACCACCAACGCCCCACCGCTCGCCGACACGCGCAACCACGACAACAGCCTCGCGCGCATCACGTTCCGCCAATTCGCGCGACCCGCTTCTCCGTCTCAGGCGCACTTCAGCCAGAACGCCTTTGGGAAATATTAGCCATCACCGAAGCTTCTCCCGAGAGGGCAGCGGCGAGCGCGTCAGTGGGCTGTAGGAAGAGCGCCGTACTATGCCAGGCAGACTCGTCATGAATCAAGACTCTGGCGCCGCTGCGAGTTTGAGCAATGGAGAGAACAAGAAGCGCAGCTTCGAGGGCAAGATGGTGAACGGAGAGCCCAAGACTGCGCCGGGCACGCCCACGGTCAACGGCGCACCCTCTACAGGACCCGGCAGCGCCTTGGCCGTCTCCGCACCGCTGGTTCCCACACCTGACGCGCTCGCAGAACTGCCGCCCGAGATTGCGCACATCACGCAGGAGCACTACCACCCGCTCTCTACTCTGCTCTTGCGCATATCACAGGAAACGTACAATGATCTCTCCGAAACCCTCCAGGCTATGGCGCAGATGCCGCTCGCCCCCCAGACGAACGGTGTCATGACGAACGGAGCAGGAGCGCATCGCAACGCCCAGAAGAATGAAGAGGTGAATCGGCGAAAGAAGCTGCTCCTCTCACCGCTTTGCACAAGACAACCGAGCCAAATTCATCAAAC